CTAGCCTGTGCCAACTTCATCATCTGCAACACACCCACCCCCATTGTTACCCCAGCCACTGAGTCAATCCATCTCATACAGGGTCTTCCTCTCTTGTGCTGTCCCTCTATCCCCCTCCCATGTATGTTTCTCTCCAGGGCTGGTCCTTCCTTCCAAAATGCCCAAAGTATGTTAGACAAAGTTTCAGAGCACTTTCCTCCAAGGAACAGCCTGGTTTCACTCTCTCCAGGACAAACGTGTTTGTTTTTCTAGCAGTCCATGTTATATTCAATACTCTTCTCCAGTACCACAGCTCAAAGGCATCAATTCCCTTTTCTATCATCTCTAGTCATTGTCCAGCTTTCTGATGCACAGCAAGTAATTTTGCCACGGTTTGGATCAGGGAGGCCTTAGTGTCACACTGATATTGTTGTTATTCAATACTCTGGAGAGGTCCCTGAGAGCAGACTTTCTCAACGCAATTTGTCTTTTGATTTCCTGGCTGCTGGTACCAAGAATGTTGATTGCGGAGCCAAGTAAACGGAAGCTGTTAGCAATCTCAATCTCTTCACTGTCTATCGTGATGCTGCCAATTGGCCCAGTGGTGTAAATCTTTGTTTTCTTGATGTTACACTTCAATCTATATTGAAGGCTGCAGCCCTTGACCTTCTGCAGCAATTGTCTCATGTCCTCCTCATTTAAAGCAAGAAAAGTTGGGTCATCTGCATAGCACAGATTCTTTTTTTTTCAATTTTCTTTGAATAGGATATATTATATTGCTTAATGTTGGGTTTTTTTATGAATTCATTTTAATGAAAATTGTCAGAGACTTTGGATTTCCATTCATTTATTGTTGCACTTTCCCCCCTGTCCAAACTCCCCCCACCCCTCAGTTCGTTCTTCTCTTTGAAAAGTATAAGAAAAATTCCTTCATTGTTATACAATCCCTCCTCCGAAGTCCACTCTACTATGTAGCTTTAGTTCTGGACTCCTAATCATATATCCCTTTTAAACAGTTCTCTCCCTCATCTGTTTCAATGCAGTGTACATAATGTATCCTACCTTTCTCAGTCTCCCTCCAACCCCGATGATTTTGGGTTTGGTTTTTTTTGTTTTGTTTTGTTTTTGTTTTTTTGGTTTTTTTTTATATCCAATCTGCTACTCTTTCTCTCTTCAGTGGTTTATTTAAACCATTCACATTCAATGTGATTATTGAGAGGCACGGTTTTATTGCTATCTTTGTGTTGAGTTTCTTTTCCATGTTGTTTCTTTCTGTGGCACCTCTGTAAGGACATCTCCCAGTGTTTTCCGCAACACTGGTCTTATTTTTACAAACTTTTTTTTTATTTGCAGTTTCTATTTTAGCAAAATTATGAAACAGTGGCTATTCAGTTTGAGGGGGTTTTTTGTTTTTTTTTGTTTTTATTAATTTCAATTAACATTTACAGAGATTTTGGATTTCTGTTCATTCATTGTTGCACATTTTTACAAACTTCTTTCGGTTCTGGTTTTTTCTGCTAATATCTTAATCTCTCCTTCATATTTGATGGACAATTTCTCTGGGTACAATATTCTTGGTTGGCAGTTGTGTTCCTTGAGTGTTCGATATATGTTATTCCACTGTCTTCTTGCTCGCATAGTTTTTGCTGAAAAACCAGCACTTAATATTATCTGCTCTTCCTTATAGATTATTTTCCTTTTTCTCCCTAGCTGCTTTCAGAGTTCTCTTCTTACCTTTGGTTCTGGAAAATTTGACTATGATATGCCTTGTTATTTTTCTTTTGGGGTCTATTCTATATGGTGTACACTCAACTTCTTGAATATATATTCTCTCATTCTTCATTATGCCTGGGAAATTTTCTTCCAGTAATTCTCCCACAACTTTCTCGGTGGTGCCTTTACTTGATTCCTCCTGTTCTGGGATTCTGATGATGAGCATGTTGTTTCTCTTGATGGTGTTCCACATTATTCTTAGGTTTTCTTTCCCCTTCCTTTTTTATTCTGCTTTTTGCTCTAGCAGATCAGTGGTGACAATTCTATTTCTCGGATTCTGTGTTACATCTCTCTTCAACTCTGTTCATATGTGCCTCCATCATGTTGCCAGCATCTGAAACCTTGGACCTTATATTTTTGATCCCAGTTTCTTGATTTTCCAGAGCTTTTAATGCCTCATATGAGTTATCTGTGTTATTTTGGATTTTTTTTAAGCTCCTCATGGTTTTTGCTTGCATTGTTCTGTAATTCTTCAAGTTTGTTTTTCACCCATTGAAAATATTCAATCATTGTTCTTTTAAATTCTCTGTCAGAAAGTTCCATCAGACTTTCTGGTTTCAGGAAATCCATTGGTATTGTGCCATTTTTGAGGGGTGACATCTTGCTTTGTGCTTGTGTAGCTTATGAGGTACCCTGTTTCTTTCATGATGATGCTGTAGTAGGGTTTTTCATGCCTGAGGTGATGATAGTTTCTTGATCTGGAATCACTGCTACAGATGAGGGCATAACAATTATGTTGCCTCTGTTTCTCTCTGAATTTATGAACGATAGCAAGTGTCCGTTCGCAGCCTGTGAAAGTGGTGTCTTCTGTTGGATAATTGTTACAGCTAAGTCAGACCAAGGTGCCCCAGATTAAATGCAGTTAGTTGACCGGATGGGAGGAAATGCAAGGCTGAGGGGGAGGGAGGACAGGTGGTGCAGGCACAAGCACAGGCATATTCTGGGTTGTCATACGCTCAGATGCCACAAGCGGGGACGTCACTCAGGCTGCAGCCACAGCTGTATGACTCACTCCTGGTGGGGCTAGCTGTCCAGGTGGGCACGTGGGAAGACCTCATTCAGTTTGCAGCTGTCCCACTTGCACCGGGGGCAGGGGTTTCTGCCTGGGTGTGGACACACAGGGACCTCACTCAGGTTACAGATGTCCTGCTGGTGTCCAGTGGGGCTAGCTTCTGGATGGGAATGTATCAGGACCTCACTTAAGTTTGCAACTGCCCCTCTCATACCCGGCAGGGCTACCTGTCAGGTAGAGATGTGCAGGTACCTGCGAAAGGAACTCACTCAGTTTACAGATGTCCTGCTTGTGCTTGGAGGGGCTACCTACCCCTGTGGGGACTCACAGGGAACTCACTCAGGTTGCAGTTGTAAAGCTTGCACCCAGCGGGGCTGGCTTCCAGGTAGTCACATGTCAGTCAGGTTGCTGATGTACGACAGGGTGGGTGTGTCATGGCGCAGGCAGTCATTTCTGTGGCGCTGGTGGTCAGTCCTGTGACACGGGCTTTCCAGGTCAGTCCTGGCAAAGATAAATTTTTGTAAGTCAGAAGTCTAAGAGTTGAGAGGTCCTCTTCCTGCTTCTCAACAACTCCATGTCTCTCAATTTTTTGCTTAAAATAGTTGCAAATAGAGAAACATGATTCTTTTGGATATTTTTTTAGTTTTATACTGATTTATTTACAAAGTTCAAATACATTGTTTTTCACACCGGATCTTTCCCATTTCCTTCTCATCAAATTGTGCTCCCTCCCACCTATCCTCGCCCCTTTGCTTCCCTCTCCCTTGTAGTTCATTCAGCATAATGCTCTGCAGTCCCTCCCAAGTTAGGTAGTAATTTACAAAATCATTGCTCCTGTGTGCTGCGTAGTATTCCATTGTATGAATGTACTATAATGTCTCAATCCATTCCATTGTGGTTGGAAATCTGGATTGTTTCCATGTTCGTGCTATGATGAATAATGCTACTATGAACAATGGTGTACAAGTCTCCCTTAGTGCCTTGGTTCTCCTTTTCTCGAGGTATATTCCAAATAATGGAACAGTTGGGTCATATGGAATTTCTATGTTCAGCTTTTTGAGGAAGCATCAAACTGCCTTTCAGAGTGATTGTACCATTTTCCTATACCAGCAACAATGTGTATGAGTTCCTGTGTCGCCCATTCTTTCCAACAATTATTACTTGCTGTCCTGTTAAACTTTGCCCCTGCTACTGGAGTGAGGTGGTATCTCATTATGGTTTTGATATGCCAATGATTTTGAGCATTTCTTCATGTGCCTGTTAGCCATTCGAAAATCTTCCTCTGAAAATTTTTGCCATGTCTTTTGCTAATTTTGTAATTAGGTTATCAGACTTTTTCTTGTGAAGGCCCAGGAGTATTCTATAAACTTTCATTATGAGACTCTTGTCTGAGATTATATTGCCAAATATTTGTTCCAAATAGGTAGGTAGGTTTTCTTTTCAGCCTGTTGGGAAAAGTTTCTGATGCACACATAGATTTAATCTTTAGATGTCCTATTCATCAATTTTATCCTCTTCAGATTGTGCATTTCTGGCTGTATTTGACAAGGAACTAAAACCAATCAAATGGGAAATTGACAACCTCTTCAACAAATAGTGCTGGCAAAACTGGACTGCTAACTGCAGAAAGCTGAAACAGAATCCACATCTCACATCATACACAAAAATCAACTGAAAGTGCATCAGAGACCTGGGACTACAGGCCAATACCATAAAGTTCCTAAGAGACAAATTGCCAAATACAACCAGAAATTAATTTTAGGTGTTTTTTATTCATCCATTGTTGTCAAGTTGGAACCAACTCATAACTGACCCTCCAGTGGGTTTTCAGACCTTACAAATTATACAGAAGGAGATTGTTTATATTTCTCTTGAGGAGCAGCTAGTGGTTTTGAACCTCATGATTTGGAGCTGACCATGTAACTCCTTATCCACTAGGTCCCCAGATCTCCTTTATCCATTAGTAGCTGCTTAATTTATTCTTGTATTAAATATAACAGTGTAGAGATGTATTGAAATTTGCTCACTCATCATCATGGAGTTGGAACCAACAATTATCTGATGCTCCATTGCTGGTGGATTTGAATCAATGCCATCTAGAATTATTTTATAAACTTTCTTGAGGGTGTAATGCCTGCATTTTCTTCTGAATGATCCTTTTCCATACAAATCTATTCATTTTTATAATTACAAAGTATTTACTAATGTGCTACTTTTTTTTCTTCCTTTTTCTTAGTCAATTCTGAATTCAATACTGCCCCGAGCTTCAACATCCAAAGAGGTTGATGCCAGCCTGCTTTCAGTTATTTCCTTCCCAGCTTTTGCAGTAGAGGATAGCCAGTTGGTGGAACTTACAAAACAGGAGATCATCACCAAGCTTCAGGTATACACATTTGTGCTTTTCTTTTCTGTATAGTTGTGACTTTAAGGATAAATTAGTACTATTTAAGGACTTAAGGTTGGCCTGTGATTTAAAAAGACCCTAATATGTTTTATTGTCAATTTAGAAAAAAAATGTAAAAGTCTCTCTAAGAAGGTTAAAATGTCTATAGCACACGTGATGACACATCAACAACAACAACAACAACAACAACAGCCAGTCTTGGTGGAGTTTTGAAATGATACAATCACTTTGAAAAAGTTTGTCAATTTCTTATAGATTCACACATACACCTACTACTTATCCAATAATCTCATTCCTAGATAACTGTCATAGTCTCTCATTCATGTGCAATCAGAACTCCACTGGGTTTCAGAGACTATTAATCACATAGGAGGAGACTTTTGTCTTTCTTCTGTGGAGTTGCTGGTGGATTTGAACTGCCAGAGAGAAATGGTCTCTGAGTTAGTACTGAAACTCCCTATGCACTCGCCTACCAGAGCTCAGAAATGGAAAATTATGTTGATATCAAAATCTACATGTGGATTTAATAAATAGGAATTTATTTTCTCACTATTTAAGTGTCTAGAGTTCTGAATTCAGAGTATTGATTCTAGGGCAAGATTTTCAATGTTTGTTCCTGTAGAACCTTCTTGCCTCTTCTCAGTTTCTCTCTTTTTATTCCTTCGAGATCTCATATGTTTGGAGATATCTCTTCCCATCTTTGCTTTCTTGTTTGCTCAAGCAAATCTTTTATATCTCGGAAATGATGGATTTAAGAACACCATATAACAATGTTGTTGTTAGGTGCTGTTGACCCTATGAGCAACAGATTTGAATGTTGTCCTATGTTGCATCATTCTCACCATTTGAGCCCATTGCTGCAGTGACTGTTTAAATCCATCTTGTTGAGAATCTTTATCTCTTTCACGGAAACTCCACCCTTCCAACCATACTATCCCTTTCCAAGGAATAGCCTAGCAACATGTACAAAGTATGACACAAAATTCTGCTACCCTTGCCTCCAAGGAGCACTCTGACTACAACTTTTATAATTATGCAACAGAGAAAATTAATTCCAAATAAGATAATAACCACAGTTTGGAGCAGGATACCATGCAATCCATAAAAGAAGCATTAATTGTTTTTAATAACCAAAAATCTGGAAATAATCTTCAGTAAGGAAAATCAATAAACTGGACTATATTATCATAATATTCTCTCTTTATCATTTGTTACTTTCTGAAATATTTAACTGTCAATCAGGCTTTTTTAATACAGTGAGTATGTGTATTCCTTCCACGCTTCTTGGATCAATCAAAATTTTGCCTATAGTACTGGGGAGCATTATGCTAAGTGAATTAATTCAGGCCTGTAAGGGCAAATATTGTATAAGAACATTATTGTAGAAATAGATAACTAGTAAAATGTGTGTGAGAATCTAATGGTGAGGAGCAGAGGAGTGAGGATGTGTGGGGTGGGTAATCACAGGATTTCACAATTTGATGTGTGGAGGGAGGAGTAGGCAAAGAAAATGGAAATTTCCAGTGTGAAAAACAATGTATACAAACTTTGCACGTAAACCAGGATAAAATAAACATTTTATTTTAAAAAAAAAACCCACAACCCCAAAATACCATACAACCAAGAAAGAACAAAACAGATGAAGGGGACCTTCTCAGAATCAAATTCCTATGCACATCAAAAAACCTTCTCCAACAGGGTAAAAAGGAAAGAAAAAGATTGGGGAAAAATGTATTTGATAATGATATATCTGACAAGAGACTCCTATCTAAAATTTATATAATACTCCAGCACCTCAGCAAGAAAAAGATAAGCAACTCAATTGCAAAATGGCACAGGATATGAATAGACACTTCACCAAAGAAAACATTCAAATTGTAAACAAACACATGAAAAAAGTTCAAAATCCCTAGCTATCAGAGAGATGCAATTAAAAACAACTATGATCCACTCTGCAACCCTCATTGCATACTCCTACGATAAAAATAATGCCCTAAAATATAATACTTTTAGACTATTCTCTCCCCCATAGACTTCAATGCCGTAAACATATTTCATTCAGTTTTTCTCAGTCTTATCCCCACCCCAATGTCAGCCTCATTCTACAACAGTGGCACCATATAGCATTTGTCCCTTTGTGACTGAGATACCTCACTCAGCATAATGTCCTCCAAGGTCACCCATTTTGAATAATATTGCATGAGTTCCTTGTTTTGCAATGCAGCATAGTATTCCATTGAGCGAATATAAAAAAAAAAACAACTATGAGACTCTGAGAAGAATGGGAATCCCAGAACACTTGATCGTTCTAATGCAAAACTTATACTTGGACCAGGAGGCAGAACTGAGCAAGGGAACACTGCATGGTTCAAAACTGGGAAGGGCGTACGCCAGGGATGCATCCTATCTCCATACCTTTTCAACCTATATGCAGAACAGATTATCCGGGAGGCTGGGCTCTATGAGGAGAAATGTGGGGTCAAGATTGGTGGACGATTTATCAACAACCTGCGTTATGCGGATGACACAACCCTGCTTGCTGAAACTGAAGAGGACCTGAAGCGCCTGCTGCAGAGTGTCAATGACTGCAGCCTACAATATGGATTGAGGCTCAATGTCAAGAAGACAAAGATTCTCACCACTGGACCAATTGGCAGCATCAGGATGGATGGTGAAGAGATTGAGATTGTACACAGCTTTAGTTTGCTTGGCTCCATGGTCAGCAGTCTTGGCACCAGCAGCCAGGAAATTAAAAGGCGCATTGCCATGGGAAAGTCTGCTGTTAGGGACCTCTCCAAAGTACTGAAGAGCAATGGTGTCTCTCTGGAGACTAAGGTGCGTCTGATACAGGCTTTGGTCTTCCCAATCACTTGTTATGTATCAGAGAGTTGGACAGTGACCAAGGAGGATAGAAGGAGAATTGATGCCTTTGAGCTGTGGTGCTGGAGAAGAGTATTGAGAATATCATGGACTGCTAGGAAAACAAGCAGATTTGTCCTGGAAAGGGTTAAACCGGGTGGCTCCTTGGAGGCAAGGATTCTGAGGCTCCGTCTAACATGCTTTGGACATGTTGTGAGGAGAGACCGGTCCTTAGAGAGGGACATCATGCTTGGGAGGGTGGAGGGACAGTGCAGGAGAGGAAGGCCCTCTATGAGGTGGATTGATACAGTGACTGGGATAATTGGGATGGGAGTGTCAGAGATGGTGCGATTGGCACAGGACAGAGCGGAGTTTAGGGCTGTTATACATAGGGTCACTATGAGTCGCAGGCGACTCGACAGCACATAACAACAACAACAACAACAACATGAGATCTCATCTCATCTCAGCAACAATAGCAAAGTTCAACAGAGAAGAAAACAAGAAATGCTGGCGAGGTTGTGGGAAGTTTGGAACCCTTCTTAACTGCTGGTAGGAGTGTAAAATGCTGCAGCCACTATGGAAGGTGGTCTGGCACTTTCTCAAAAAGTTGTAAATAGAAATACCATTTGACCCAGTAATACTGTTACTGGAAATATACCCTAAAGAAAACATTCATCCAAACAGATATATACACATCCATCTTTATTACTGCATCATTTACAATAACAAAGAGATGGAAGCAACCCAATTGCCCATGAACAAATGACTGGTTAGAAAAACTATGGTATATTATGCAATGGAATACTATGCAGCACTAAAAAATAAATTGTACATAGGGTTTTTTACCATGGTCTTCTCAATTACTTGTTATGCTTCAGAGATCTGGACAATCACTAAGGATCACAGAAGAAGAATTGATGCCTTTGAGTTGTGGTGCTGAAGAAGAGTCTTGAACATACCACCAAGTAATGCCAAGAAAAATAGGTCTGTCTTGAAGAAGGTGAAACCAATTCTCTCCTTGGAGGCTAGAATTTTAAAGCTCTGTCTCACATACTTTTGGTCACATGGCCAGATGAGACCGGTCCTTGGAGAAGAACATCATGCTCAGAAAGCTGGAGCGACAGTGCAGGATGAAATGGATTGATACAGTATCTGGGGCAATAGGGGTTGGTGCATCGGAATTAGTGAGACTGGTTCAGGACAGGGAAGGGTTCAGTTGTGTGCATAGGGTCACTATATGTCGCAGGTGACTCAATGGCACATAACAACAACATACTATATTGGTGTGTGGTGTTTGGGTTGGTGTTTTTTGTTTTTTTTTGGTTTGGTTTGTTTGTTAGTCATTTTTTGTTGTTTTGTTCTTTTTGTTTTTTAATATAAGTCTCTTGTTTAGAGTCAACAAGACCTTGGGGAGGCCCTTTGTCTTTCAAAGTTGGTTGTTAATATATTTTGGAGGAACATTCTTCTAAGTGGTACAGTAAGGGTTCTTCTGTCAATATGCTGTACTGAGGTAACCTTGTGTTGCTGTGATGCTGAACTTTGTGCCATTGGGGTGTCAAATGCCGCAATGGTTACCCATGGTGGACAGTGTTTGGTGGAGCTCACAATTTAAGACAGGTTTGGAAGTAGGAGTGGCATCCACTTCCTATACAGTATGCCTCTGGGAAAATCTATAAAATTTAATGAATGATGATAGTTGTAGAAAGTCTTCAGGGCTTTTGTTCATAGGGTCGCTATGAGTCCTGCTGGATTAGAGGCAATCAACAACAACAAATGAAAAACAATGAACACATAAAACATTACACAATCACAATGTGGTTAACCTAGCAGGATATTATATTGAGCGAAATATCTCAGTCACAAAAAGACAAATACTTCATAGCACCACTGTTATAAAGCAGGTCTGATTTGAGGGTTTGGGAGGAGAATAGAATAAGAGTGGATAGATAATTAATATTTCACTGAAATAGATGAAGGAAAGAACTGTTTAAAAGGAATATATGATTAGGTATTATATGGATGAAAGCAACCCAGAGTAAGAGGTACATTGCAAAGAGTACTGGGAGTGGGGGAAGTGAGGTAATTGTGCAATAATATTTAAAAAACAACATTTTTTA